TGGTTTCCGCCCTGATTTTCCCACCCTTGTGATTTCTGGTTACCGCCCTGACTCCACCCCCCCTGGGTATTGCTGCCTTGAGTCCATCCACCTTGATTTCCTCCATGGCCACCTGCCTGGCTTCCGGCCTGAGCCCATCCCCCTTGATTAGTACCACTATTACTACCACCTTGGCTCCATCCACTCTGATTTCCGCCCTGAGTCCATTCAGCTTGACTTCCTCCAGAATTGTCCCAACCTTGGTTTCCTTGTTTTTGGGAACCAGCCGCGCTCCAACCAGCTTGGTTGCTGCCCTGGTTGTCCCAGCTTCTCTGATTTCCTCCTTGGTTCCATCCCTCACTACCGCCACCTTTGCTGTGATCGCCACCTGACACAAAGAGCATGATCAATGTATTCCTTTGATATGTACCTACTAGCGCTCCAAACTTTAACTAAAACGAAAATAATACTCTAAATTGTAACAAAATAGAATTAGCTTCGTAAATCTCACAATACGCAGGTTCTTACCTCCATAGGACTTGGCTGGAGCAACGTGATGAATTGTTCCAGAGTAACTTGACGTTTCTACCTGTTTACCACCACCGTACGATCCTCCGTGAATCATGGCACCAAGGTTTCCGTGGTTTCCTCTATAGCTCCCCCCATGACCTCCTTGATGACCTTGTCCAAAGCTTTTCCCCGCAGAGCCTTGGTAAGCGCCTTTTCCCTGGTAGGAGTCAGACCATCCTCCTTGGTTTCCAGCTTGGCTCTTCTGAGGGGCAGCAGACCATCCGCCTTGGTTCCCGCCGAAGTTCTTTTGAGGCGAATTGGACCATCCTCCCTGGTTTCCGCCGAAGCTCTTCTGAGAACCATCGGACCATCCATCCTGATTCCTTCCGAAATTCTTCTGGGGCTCAGCCGACCATACCCCTTGGTTTCCGCCAACGTTCTTCTGGCCTCCAGAGGGCCAGCCTCCCCGGTTACCTCCAAAGTTCTTCTGACCTCCAGAGGGCCAGCCCCCCTGGTTACCGCCGAAGCTCTTCTGACCTCCAGAAGGCCAGCCTCCTTGGTTACCTCCAGAGATTTTTTGTTGGGCTGGGGACCACCCACCTTGGTTGCCTCCAAAGTTCTTATGTGGTGGAGCTGGAAAACGCCCGCCTTGGTTTCCTCCAAAGCCTTTTTGGCCACCAGAAGGCCAGCCATCTTGATCTCCACTGAAGCTTTTTTGACCTGCGGAGGGCCAGCCGCCTTGGTTTCCGCCAAAGCTCTT